TTTTTTGTTGTGTGGCATGATTGGGAAGTGTTGCGAGTCAGGACATATTTTACCTCAGAATACACCAGGTCGCATAAGCAACTGACAGTTCCAACTGTTTTACGGGGGGGAGGGAGTTTGAGGTGTGGAATGGAGTGAAGTCCAATCAGCTTCCATATGCAAATGACCTTGACACGCTGGCCCAATCAGAGAAGAGTGGGCTGAAGCGGCCCAGCCGTAGAAGCCCCGTCCCTGCACTCAGTCTGCAGATGGTCCTCTCCTGTCAGAAGCCCAGAGCGGGGCTGATGTGGGCGGGACTACACAAAGCAGCCAGGAAACCCAGCCACCATCTTCTGACTGACAGTTCAAGCCTCTAAACACTGTTGGTGTTAATTGGAACGTTGGGCCCCACTACGGCTTTATATATAAGGGAAAGATTATATGATGCATCAATACAAGGGAAAGCATTTCGGCACATGAGGATGCGTATCCTGGGTTCTGGACATATACACAAATGAAGTAGCAAGTTATGAGCTGCTGCCCACTGGTGACTCACCAATCACAGGAATTATTATGAAAACTCTTTCTTCAGCAAGAAGATGGACAGTGAGGGTCCTATTCTATTCTATTCCTATTCAAGTAACTGATGGACCTTGGGACTAGTTTTTAAATGTTACTGCTACTACTTTCCCCCCCCCCCCCCAGTCAACAAAATGTCTGGAACACACTTAGTTGAGGCCATCAGGGCAATGTGAAGCTGTGTCATACCTAGAATCCTTCCTTCTATCTGTCTGGTGTATTTTTATCTTACCATTACTCAAAGGAGCTCAGGGTTCTGTGTTTTATTTATGCAGCAGTTTTCTCCCCAGTGAAGATTCAAAGTAGCTTACAAGATTCTCCACTCCTCCAGAGAATTGGGGGAGGAGCTGTGGCTCAGTAAAAGAGCCCCAGTTTGCATGCAGAAGGCGCCAGGTTTAATCATGGTATTTCCGGTTAAAAGGCCCAGGTAGGAGGTGATAAGAAGGACCTCTGCCGGAGACCTTGGAGAGCCTCTGCCAGTCTGAGTAGACGGTACTGACATTGATGGACTGATGAGCTGACCTGGTATAAGACAGCTCTGTGTGTGTGTTCATTTTATCCTCACAGCAAAAACCCTGTAGGTTAGATTGAATGAGGGAGAATTAAATAATATTGGATTACCACTTGTAGTTGAAGTTTGTCAACTAAAATGTCCACTACAGAGTTGCCAAATATTTTGCTTGTATCCTAAAAAGTTATACAAATACTTTGTTTATATTTCTGTGTTGACTAAAGCCATCAAATTCTGACTGATTTAGTAGTGAGTGTTTCAGTATTATTTCTTCTAATGTTCTTTTGCTTTTAGGGTAGCTTGCATTTCTTTCCTTTCTTGTGGGAAGGGGTTGCTTTTTAAAATAGAAGTAATCTGAGCCTTCTGGAGCCGGGGGAAACATCCTCTTCAAATGTTTCTGCTGTATTTTGAATTGGATGTCTGGATTCCTTAATTAATTCCCTAATTAGTTTCTGTGTTAATTGACAAAAGTTCTAAACAGTCTAAATAAGAATTAAAAATTACAGGGTCTGGGATGGCCTTGTGTGGCTCCTTTTTTTGAAGCTGATGTTAGTGTCGAGTGTGTAAAGGGATCCCCTTTAAACACACACACAGCAGCAGAGTCCTTGGTAATAAAAAGGAAAAATTACTTCACTCAATAGTTATATGAACAGGGACAGGATATATTTAAGAGGTTCAAAGAAGCTGTATTCTGCATTAGAGTTAATTTGCTGTTTTAATACATGGAAATATATTGGTCACAAAAATTATACTGTACCTCTTGGTTATGTGGAGCCTCTTTTTCAGTCAACTACTTGTTTTCAACTTTAAGTTTACTTAAAGTTTTACTGAAAAGAAATGTACAAAGACAGCCATTGAATTGAGGATTAATCACTATGGCAACTGAAATGTGGTGACTGAAAAGGGGGAGGATGTATTCTCCCCTCAGCTTCCTGCCAGCTGTCATATTCAACCTTTGCGGCATGAATCCTGTCCAAAACATAGACTGTGACCAGCTCTAAGAAACTATATCTGTATTTTTAAAATTGGTACAAGTATCACACTATAAAAGAAGACTTAATCCCTTGAATTGGATGACAGACACTTGGCACTCTTGACACTGTTTGACAGAGAAATAACAGGATGCTTTGTAGTAAAACCTGGATTAATGGTAAACCCCTCTTTATGTTATTGCAGTGTGGTGTAAATGAGAGAACTAAGCATTCTGTCAGCCAAGGAGGGGGGGAATGTGCCCCATCTATGCCCAGTGCAGGTTTAAGTGCTCTGTGGAATACTGTAAATACAAAAGTAGCATTATTAAGAACTTTGCTTTGTGGCATTTGTATTTTGTATTACATCAGTATTGATAGGTCACGTAAACAAAAGGAGTTCTGTTAGCTGCGGTGGATTTGATTGCAGACTATTTGTAGAGGTTCAGGAAGGAAAGTTATATTCTCTGCGACTAAATGTGACAGAAGTGTGTGTGAGAGGGGAGAATGGGGACAGACAAATTATTTTGCAGTTTGTCGGTCCATGACAGCGAAATGTATTAAAGTGTTCTTGGGCAGCAGTTTCCTCAGAATTAACCTATGCATTTTGTATGTTCTGTAAATGATATTGTTTTAATGCTTTTTATCAAGCAGTCATTCATTCTTCATAATTGGCCAGGTGCTGTTCTGTGATGTTTAATTTGGTAATGTGTGCTTTCAGTATTACAGCTGTTAATGCTAAACTATTTCTACAAGATTTCAGTTTGGAGCTGAAATTAAATTTTTTAAAAATAGAAGTGATAACCATGCAATATAAGCAAGAAAAGTGTGATGTGAAAGAGTACAGCTTTATTCATAGCTTTCAGAAAGGAAATAAACCATATGGCTTCTGGATCACATCCCTGATATGAATCTTCCTGAATGGAGGTTAATGGGAAGCAGAAAGCTGATACTAGGGGTGTGCACTCAGTATATACCGAGCCGAATAAATACCGGTGTTTTTTGGGTATTATCGGTATTTTATGGGTATTTATTCAGCCAAATCAGATTTTCTAATCTGATTCGGTTACCAATCCAGCTGAGCCTGAATAAAAACTGCTATTATTCAGCTTTTATTCAGGCTTAGCCAAAGCAGCGCGAGTTAACTCACCTTCCAGGTGAATTCGCACCATTTCTGGGTTCCTCGTGTGCTGCTTGGCTTTTGTAAAACCAAGCTGCCTGCGTGCTTCCCGTCCCACTCGGAGTTGTGCCGCAGCGGGGGCACATCTCAACAAGTGAAAGGAAAGCATTTAAAGCTTTTCCTTCCCTCGTGGAGGCATGCTGCTGCCATAATGCAACTTGAGGAGGGAAGGTATTTAAAGTTTGTGTACCTTCCCTTCCCTCCCTGAGTCACACCACAGGAACAGTATTTAAAGAGACATACCTTCCCTTCCCTTGCCAAGGCAAGGGATATTGCCTTCCTGATATTGGGATTCGGGAATATTGGTATTTACTGATATTTTTCGGGTTTCGTACACCGAATCCAAAAAAACTCTCCTTTTTGTGCACACCCCTAGCTGATACAGACTAGAGAGAGATTCCCTGCTTGCAAAACTCCATTTAAAGGGAACCCTTTAAATGGTGTTTTGCAAACGGGGGCTACCCGCACCTGAACTCTAAATGGTGAATTCATCACTTGGAGTAAGTTCAGGTGTGCCATGTGTTGCTTGGAGTTGAGGCAAGGCTTGTGGTGGCCAGTTCCGCTTGTAAAACACCGTTTAAAAGGAACATTCCCATGCCTGAACTCCCAAGTGGCAAATTCACTGCTTGGAGTTGAGGAATGTTGTGCTGCTTGTTTTGCAAGCGGGTGCCATTGGTGCCTTCCAAGGGGCTGCATCCCCAATGTGATGAGGTCCCTTCTGTGTGACTTCGTCACATCAGGGACATCCCCACCCCTTTCAGGAATG